TGAGTGTTGGACAACTCCGGTCTCAATCAACTCATCCAGTGCCTTGTCAATTGCTTTCCTCTTTGCCGCACTAACGGGGGGAGGATTGCATTTTCACGGTTGTGCGTCGCCTGTGTCAATCCGGTGCCTCACCAGAGAGATGCAACCCGGGCGTTCCGTGAACGTGTCGCTGAAACATGTCAACAGCGACGACAGGCATGCTTTCTCGCGTTTCGACAAGCTGTCTGGCAAAGGCGGCAGTAAGCCATTCGAGTTGCTGCTTAGCGGGGGGGGGGGGGGGGGGTCACTCGCATAACCTTGTTCACCGCGGCAGCATTATGCTCAAGGGAAAGCTGTACGCACGGACCGTTTTCCGCTGCGCCAGCCAAAGGACCAGTCTTGGCGTCGGAGGGGGAGACGCGGGCCGCGGGGGCAGTGCTTGGTCTCCTTTCCTCATTTCTCCTCGTGGCGTCCGGCGATTTACTGGCAGCCGAGACCACGGGAGGTGCAGCGAAAGGCCGTAGGGGGCCTGTAGCCTCCGCTTGCGACGTCAATCACAATACCTTTGCGCGCGAGAAAGTCGCGACCGAGAATCACAGGCACAGAAAGACTAGGGAGATGCACAAAGCGCTGTCGGCGTGCGCGATTCCCCCAACGCACAACCAACCGCGCAGCGCCGCACGAGGTGGCAGTACTGCTGGTGAGGTGGAAGGCAGTGTCGTAAGCTCGAATGCGGACAGAGCGGTCGCGCAAGTGAGCCCTAACCTCTTCGCCGAACAGCGAGATAGAAGCCCCGCTATCCAGCATCGCCGCAAACTCTCGACCAGCGATCGTAAGGACGATGAACGGCGCCGGCGTGGCTGGAATGTCATGTCCAGCGCGACACGCAATCGGTGCCAGAGGTTGTGTTATACTCTCGTGCTCTCTTACTGCTGCAGCCGCCGGCAAGGGATAGCTCACCGACGGCTCACCTCGTTTCCCGACGGGCGAGCAGGCCCTTGTGTCGGTTCGGGCTCGTTGCACTCTCGCGCGGTGTGACCATGGTCACGGCAACGAAAGCAGACCGCGCCTTTTCCTCCAACAGGAAGGGGGGGAGGGGAGGGTTTGGCGATGATTTAGAGCTACGAAGTGTCCGTTCACTAGCCGCAGCGGCGCTCCGCGATCGGATATCTCCTCGAGCACAGGGTTTCCGTTCTTGTTCACGTTGCCAGGCAACGGTGGCCGCCTGGGCGTACAAGTACGGGTCCAGAGCGCGGTCCGACACATCGAGCGCATCTCGATCTCTCACGGCAGAGGCCGCCTTATGGTTTGGGGAACCCCAGTGTGACGAGTAACCACCAGCCCACGCGCAATGAGGCTCGAGAGACGCGGACGGCGGTGGCGGCAGGCGATAGGCTCGCGTCGCCCTTATGTCGCCCTGAATATGCTTCGCATCGGATGCCAGCTCGTTTAGGTCACGATAACGGGCGCTTCGAAGGTAAGCGGCGAAGGTTGGATGAGCCCGACATATGACTCGCTCCACCTTCTCGGTGTCTGATGCCGTAGGATCGGCAAGGAGGTAGAGCTCCTGCAAAGCCCGAATGTACTTAAGAAGAGATTCGTCAAGATGCTGTGTGCGAAGCTCTAACTCGCGACGCATGCGGCGCTCGTATTCAGGAGGAAGGAATTCGCTACGGAAGAGCGCCCTAAACTCCTTTATTGAGCGAGCTTGGTGGCCGACGAGCCAGTACCACCTCGCCGCTTGGGCTGTCAGCGACACGGGCAAAACAGAGCCTAGCATAACGCTGTCGCGGCTAGCCTGCTGATAGCGGTGCAGCGCCTCGAGGTACTCTGTGGCACTGGTGCGGTCCGAATTACCGCTGTACTCAGACAGGGTACCCTTAAGCTACTCGGAACGCTTGGCTGAGGGGACTCAGGGTCTCCCTTTGAAGCACAAGGCTGCAAGCGTACCACTTCCAACAGAACGTTTAGGAGCTGCGCCGCAGTTGCGTGCAGCAGTGACTGCTCCGACACGGGCGCGGCCGTAACAGGTGCGCGCGCCTGTTCCCCAACATGCGCGTCCGACTGAAAAGGGCCAATACACGGCATGGAGGAGGGTAGGGTTTGCGCTCCGACTGGTGCTTGAGGCCTCACGCGACTGGCAAACAGGTCGACAGCGGAGCACGGCAGCCCACGTCCGTCGAAAGTGTCGCCCACGCGAGTCTCAGGCCAGCGAACGTCGGTGAACGCGGCGACGTTGTTGGTTAAGCTCGCAAACGACATCGTGAACCCTTTGCGCTCGTGATCACGACAGGTCATTAAGCGCGTTCCCCCCAACACCTGAGTGCCCCCGGTAGGAAGGACTGGGTGGGGCGATTTGAGCTGTCAACCGTGCTGCTGACGGGGAAAGACCAGCGGGCGGAGACAGCGCCGGGGACGGGCCCGTAAGCGCGTGAGTTTCGAACAGCTGATACAGCCCGTTACTGGCTTGGCTAGGACTGTGGTCCTCGTTCAAGCGACTCGCATCACCGTAGGGGGCCCCGAAAAAGGGATCTCTCCCGGTGAACGAAAGCAGAGAGTTGCTGAGAGGGCCGTACCCCGTGCTGTTGCAGCCGTCCGCCTCGATCGAGATCAAGTCCGTCGCCACAGGATCGAACAGGAACGAGCGCCTCGAAGGAGTCTGCTCTGAAGCTATGCCGAAACCAAGTTGGGCACCAGTTATATGGAGATAGGTTTGAACTAGGCTTACCTACTAAGCGCAACCGTGTAGGGATGCGACATCCTCTACTGCCGCTGCGTGCGACGACACTGCGGCCGGGTTCCTCATTTTCTCCGGCACGGCGCAGAAACCACGCGCGCGGCAGGATAACAACAACAACGGGTTTATTAACCCAAGATGCAGCACAGTGCGACATTCACGGGCTTGCAAGCCGTATAGGGAACTCCGCAAGACCGAGAAAGTACGCTTGCCTAGGGCGCGACGACTCCCGCACAAGGGCCGAAGTCGAACTCACGAATGAGAAGCCGCCTGCTAAGCAGTGCGTCAACCTGTCGTGGAGGCCTGAGAGCATCTGCCGCGACGAGCTCGTAGGAGAGGAGGATGTCACGCGCGCCCAAAGGGAAATGGCGCTGCGTTGTGACGTAGGCCCGCGCAGCGCGCCAGCGTAGCGTGCCCAGACATGCCAGCGTAGGAAGGAGCCGACGGTCGACTCGCCCAGACCAAGAGGCGTCCTGGCAGCCATCTTGGCAGATGCCGGTGCTTATGCGCGCCCGGGCTACGCTGTCGGCGTGCGCGCGGCAGCTGGGGAACGAGGCGCCAGGTAAGAGGGCGCTCTTGATTCCCACACGCAGCAACCGCCACTGCGACACCCACTATCATTGGCTCCCATGCTCCGACATGTGGTCCAGGAGCAGATCTCTGAGGCTATGCCGGTGCAGCAGCCCCCGTCACCGGGCCTCTTACTTATCCTCTGTTGCTTTTGCATAATGGCTATTCATACTGTACTCAACTGTCAGCAGCATCTTATTGTTTTTGGAGTCAGTAGGAGGTCTTGTAGAAGCTCTTTTTACCTTGTTTTATGCCACGCCGTTTCAGATCATTTCTTGTTCAAGGAATCGATTGATTTCCAATATGTTCATTTTAATTGTCTCCTATTTCAAACGTATCGTCTTGGAGCAAAAGAAGAACATGGTTCTTAAGTACAAAACTTGAAAAGAAACACCAACAGCCAACAGGCAGCAAGAAGTAAAGAAGTCAGCCTTTTTATTTGAGTTTTGCCCTGCTACTTTGTATTTCTTCAAGAAAAAGCTAATTGTGGAATGAAAGCATATAATAAATAGGCAAGCAACTAGAACACAAAGAAACAAATTGTATAAGTCTGTGTTAATTGCATTAGTCACTATTGGTGATGGAGCATCAGTTTGATGGATCTGACTCAGTTTAATTCAAATGGGGGCGAGACTTGGTTCACTTTTGTAATTCGATTCAGTTCATGTTACTGTAAGGGATTGTCAAATTTGATTTACAAGTATTTCTAGAGAGGCGTTACTCTTTCTTGAAGTTTAGCCCAGTTTCGATGTCTACATGGGGCGCTTTAGAAAAAAAAAAAGCACACCATATCTTGACTACATGGCCTCTTAATCTTGGGGTCAAGGGTTCGGGCTGCATACCAGCTATGTGGATGGGACGCAACATGCTCACTGCACATGAAGATAATATGGCGTCGATCCTAGGTTGTCAACAAACCGCCGAGTGCGACCACACACCTTGAATGCTTTTCTGGTAACAAGACTCCTGCCCTAAGTTTCGTACGGTGCCAGCACATGCTGTTAGAGGTGCAACTGTGCACGAGAAGGAATGTGATCGTTGCTATAGCCATGTTTGCATCTGGGGCAGCAATGAAATTCTGGCTTTGTAAACATCCACTACAGTCGCTTTACGGAAAAGTAACTACTTTCGACGCTCAACATCTGCAAATGCAATGCACGAGAGCATTGCAAGTTTTGAAATTAGTGCCTGGGCAAAAAGAATGACCGCTCAAAACTTGCAGTTCATGGGATTTCAGTTTAAAAGAAGCAGAAATTTGTTCATTGTGATTATGAGGCAGTGAGGATTTTTGATCATTTAAAGCTTTTTCCCAATTGTAAGCACACAGACTTTCCTTTTCCTTCTCAGCGAAGCGCGGCTGCACAGTTAGTCCCAATGTTCAAGTATGTTTGGCTTTGTAATATTTGCCTCGACTCCTCTCCTGCCATTCTATTATTCTTTTTCTCCCAGCCTGTTTTTGCCCTCACCTCCTGTTTGTTGTTGGGTGTGAGAGAGAGGGGGACAATAAGCATTACATTGTTGTTGTTGAGAATGTTATTATATTGAAGCACACTATTCCACACCAATGTGGCCAATTTTAACATCTTTTTTTATATTAACATACGTTTGTGGCTGCTTGTGTAAGAGAATGTTAAATGCACTTCTTCGAAAAAAACCTTTGTTTTGCGGCTGTGTCAGCACATCACTCTGGCTGAATGTTTTCTCGTCTTTTCAGGGATCTTGCCAAGGCTTGCCCGATACCGGTAGACTCCCTGGACAGCCCACACACCAAGGCACACCTACTTTTCCAGGCACATTTCTCACGGTTGCAGCTGCCGAGCTCGGACTACATCACCGACCTCAAGTCGGTCCTGGACCAAGCCATCCGCATCCTGCAGGTCGGGTCCTGCATTCCTCGACAATCTACTTCATCCCACAAGTGCAGTACTGTCAAAACGAATTTCGGTGGTGGTCCAACTGTGCCAATTGTTGCAATTTCGATACAACTCTATGTCTCTGTGCACATTGCCTACTCCTTCAACGGTAGGCTGTTGAAAGTGTGGTTTCGTTTTTCAGTTCCAAATTCTAACACTCGGGTGATTTTCACTCATTTTATCAGAAGTAAAATGGACATTAGGTTGGATTTTTTTTTAGAAGTAGCAGTCAAGATTCGCTCACACCGCGTGGCTGCTGTCACTTTTGAAATAGTTAGGAGCATGCAGGTTCACACTGCAGGCTTATTAGGCCTCTTTGTGCCCACATCTTTCAGCAAGGGGTTGGGTGATAGGTATTAATATGGTGGGACGCCTGGATTCTATGAAGTTTTTTGTGCGTACTGCTCAATATCTGGGTTGCATTTCAACTAGCTGAATAAAAACATCACAAGAGACACATCATTTGACCACCAAAAAAACCACCAGTTGCCTAATAGAATTGTTCAACTTGTTAAATTACGTAACAAGTAGTGCAATCATTTCTTATTCCAGAGAGCCTCATAGGTCTATTCACATGTGCAGGCCATTATTGACATAGTAGCCAACCAAGGATGGCTGGCTCCTGCACTGTCTGGCATTGTGCTGCTCCAGATGATCATCCAAGCTCGCTGGCACTCTGAAAACACGCTGCTCACTCTGCCACTTGTTGACAACTCTGTGCTAGAAGACTTTGCGTGAGTTCCCCCACAGTATTCTTTGCGCTTTTGGGGAAAAAACCATGTTGTGAGGACTCCCAGTGAGAGAAATTAGTCCACACACAACAGTGATGCTATGCGTCTTTAGTGACGCACTGTCTCTGCATGTCATTCACAAGAGTGTGTCTTTCCACCAGGTCTGTGTCAGTCCACTCACTGCCAGAGGCCATGCACCTGGTGGCCCATTCACCAAAGGTCCTGGAAAAGGCTTTGCAGGGAAGGCTGAAGGAACGAGGATTTCAACAGGTTGGCATATTCTGTGTATTCTTTCTATGATAAGCAAGCTTTGTTGGCAGTTACCTGCAGTCCCGTATATCCAGATGAGTGGGTACTGTTATGAGGAATGCTGCACTGATGAATGTGGCAGGTGGATGTCGAACAAAAAAATTCTGATAGGATGAGCAGCTACTGCATATGTATCGTATGTTCTTTATTTAGCGTGCAATTTGGTGCCAAATGCTAGCTTAAGTTGAATCAGGCATTGAAATACCATCGTCAGTTCTTACACTCGCTATAACGCCAACACACACATGCGTGTGTGTGTGTGTGTGTGTGTGTGTGTGTGTGTGTGTGTTTGTTTGTGTGTTTGTGCATGCGTGTGGAAAAAAAAGAGAAAGGGCATATTTGCGGGAAACACAAGTGAGGTGCCTGAAACAGACCAGCAAAAGCTTTCCTGTAGATATCAGTGAGGGATCAGCTCATTTTCATGTTGATATGAAGCTAAGAAAAAGAATTAAATCACTGATACTGCCTTTGCGACATTATGAATGCAAAACTGGCACACCTCACGAATCGTGAGCCAAACAAGCTTTACTGTGTGTATGTATATAGGCACCTACATACATACATACATACAACATAGGCTGGCAAAGTCATTTGTGAGTCAACTGACTCAGACCAGGATAAATGTGCGAGTCAGTTCGTGAAAAATTTTGGTGAGTCTGAGCGCGAGTGAGTCTGGCTCAGGTATACTTAGGTGAGTCTGAGTGAGTCGACTTGAGGAAAATTTCGGTGAGGCTTAGTGCCAGGTTGACGAATATATGTGTCATGAGCAAAGAAGGCACGTGGCGATGGTGTGCGGAACCACAGAAGAAGTACCCGATGGCATGTGCACCTGCCATGTTCATGCACTTGATTATTCGGCGAAGGGCGCTGCAAGCGGCCCAGCCGTAATGGAAAAACTTTGGAGAAGAAATGACATAGTTTGGTGGAGGGCCAAAGGAAAAGGGTGAAAGAAGTCAGCGTCGCACTTGCATTAAGCAATGGGCACTTGAATCTGAAAGCAGCCCACATAGACTCGGGAAGTGGTCGGTGACCAGCGAAGCTCCCCGGTTTCGCAGCAGCCTCACCGTAGCAGTTGCTAACGCATCAACAGCCCTTGCTCTTCTTGACAGGATAAGAGTCCTCCACTCTGCAATCCCTGGAGTGCCAGGTCGGTGGTTGGCTCATACAGCTAGACCTAACTTATCAAGTTCCACTACGAACATGACAGCGACTGAAGTACGAGCAAGAGAGACAAGCATCTCGTATGTGGATAGACAAAGACAACCTTGAAAGGTCTCCCAATACTTCTGCGATGTGATAAACAGCCATCGTTATGCGCGGAAAACATGAACAGTAAGATGTACATTCGATACACCGATGACAGTAGGAGAGTAGCCGCGTTAGACTCTAACACGGCATATTTATAGCTTTCGTTTAGGTTTATCGCAGACTATTGTGTGAATGTGCATTTTCGAGTAAATATAGTGTTGGATTGTTGTTTGCCATTTTGTCAAATAAGGTGTGTTTGTTGTGCTATCACGGTCTCCTCATTCCAATCCTTTGCTAGCTAGCGCTCCTAGGATGATGGCGACAGTCCGAGTGACTTCGTTCGAGGAAAATTTTAGCGAGTCTGAGTCCGAGTGAGTCCGGTTATGGCAAACATTGGTGAGTCTGGGTCAAACGTACCAATGGGAAGTTGCTGTGCCATACTGCTCCAAAAAGGTCTTTTTTCTATAATTTGTGCCATTGCTGCGCCGCAAGCTGGTTTTAGAACCGAAATTAATGTCAACAGCACGCAATATTTGGAGCGGATATTATGTGATGGTCACTATCTTGTACACTTGGGCTGCTGCAAAAGCACCAAATTGGCCGATCAATTATTCCGACTTATGCGCAATTGTGGCGGTGCCTTTAGTGGTAACCATTGACAAAGAACGCAGGCAATTAGGCGACTACCGAAAAGCGCGCCAGTATGTCTTATCGCCGATAAAAAGCCTATACGTGTGTTGTGGAGCGTCACTTTTCACCTACTGCACGCTTTTAATACTTGGCGACTGCCTGAGAGTGCTGAGGCGCCGATCGGTGCCGCTTCAGTGGTTGTGCGGGACCGTGTTTTGCAAAGTGTGCAGCGCTTTGCAAAAACGAAAGCAGTTCGCTGTTGCGGGCTCAGCATTGTGGATCGCGGGCACAGAAATGCTCATGGTAGCACACCTTTTCATGAAGCGACAGCCCAAACACGCTTTCATCCACGGCCAGGACCGCTAAAGCATCGCTTGCAGAAGGCTTGCATCGATGCGTAAATGCAACGGGCTTCTTGCCACATCTGTACACGGTCTGAAGCGAAGTGTGTACACCGAGTAAACAACGCGCTGTTCGCAACTGGCCAGTAAACGATCGCCTCCCTGCAACTAAAACACATCTCGAAAAAGCTGTGTCAGTTTCCAATCAGTAGCATATCGTGGTACACATTATCGCGAACAGCCAATTATTTCCATTTCGTTGCTGTGCCAGTTGCTGCGTTGGCTGCATATCTTGGACTCTGCAGTAGTTTGGAAATGCCCTTTGATATCACCACCGCGTGATATTGGACAGTTGGTGAGAATGCCAATCATTTCTGAACATTGCAAAAAGGAAAAAGATTGCTTTGTGGTGGGTACTTTAGGCAATATTTGCTGTGGTGCTGTATTTATTTCGTCTTTAGTGGCGATGGTGCACGTAACGAAATGCAAATTGGTACTTAGTCGTAGGCGTGCACGCTAGTGGGACACGGGAAGGTGGGGGAGGAAAAAGTCAGCCACATACATTGACATAATAAGGAGGGGAGCGCAAAGTCAGCTCTATACACAGAAATGATAGGGAGGGGGCCACTGCGACATAGCTTTGCCCCCCTCCTGAAGAGGAACCCTGCGCACGCTTATGTACTTGGTGGTTATACAGTTCCCCCAGGGGCCATAGACACCGCTTTGTGTCTCTCATGGCGAATGTCGCTCGGATGGTGGCGGGCGCCCCACTTGTGGTCGTAGACACGACTCTCCTCTCCTTCTTGGTCTGCCGCGCTGGGGGAGCAGGAGTGACGTCTTGCCCCTCTCTTGCGGTGGAGGTGTCGACTGTGGCGCTGTGCACAAAATCTCTCGAGATGTTTCGCGCGCGTTGGGAGTGAGAGAAAACTTCTCCGGGATGGCATGGGTAAGCACGCATTTTTTTTACGTCCGTCGGCTCCCTTTGTTTGGGGGCTCGCTTGGAATTCGCCAACGGTGCCTTGCGCTCGTGCCGAACGCTTTCGTTTTCTGCAGATTGATTTTAAGACCTACTCTTCTGCTCAACTTGTCTAACTCTGTAATCATGAGTTGCAATTTGTCCCCTGAGTTACTCAGCAATGCAATGTCATCGGCGAAGCGCAGTCACTAAGGTACTCTTCATTAACTCTTATGCTTAACTGTTCCCATTTATAGGTCTCTAAAAACCTCCTGTAAGTACGCGGTAAATAGCATTGGGGAGATTATATCCCCCTGCCTTACACCCTTCTTGATTAGTATTCTGTTGCTTTATTTATGAAGCACTATGGTAGCAGTTGATCCCCTGTAGGTTTCTTCCAGGATGTTTATATATGCTTCGTCGACGCCCTGATTCCGCAGTGTCTGCATTACTGTTGCTATTTCTACTGAATCAAACGCCTTTGCCTAACCTATAAAGGCTATCTATATATGTATAGTGATTGGCTATATTCTGAGCATATTTCTATTACCTGGTTGATAGTATGAATGTGGTCGATTGTTGAGTAGCCTGTTCGAAATCCCGCTTGTTTTGTTGGTTGATTGAATTCTAATGTTGCCTTAATTCTGTTAGCAATTACCTTTGTAAATAGTTTGTATACTACAGAGAGCAAGCTGATGGGCCTGTAATTCTTCAAGTCCTTGTCATCTTTTTTCTTATGTATTAAAATGATGTTAGCATTCTTCCAAGACTCTGGTAGTCTTCCCGTCAGGAGACACCTCGTAAAGAGGGTCTCTAGTTTTTCTAACACAATCTGTCCTCCATCTTTTAGCAGATCTGATGTTACCTGATCCTCACCAGCAGCTTTGCCTCTTTGCATGCTCTCCAAGGCTTTTCTGACTTCTTCTATAATTATTGATGGGGTGTCATCTGGGTTACTGCTAGTTCTTATATTAAAGTCATGGTTGTTCTGGCTATTGTACGGATCTCTGTAAAACTCCTCCGCTATTTTGACTATCCTATCCATATTGGTAGTTATTTTGTCTTCTTTGTCCCTTAGTGCATATATCTGCTTTTTGCCTATCCCAAGTTTTCTCTTCACTGCTTTGATGCTTCCTCCGTTCTTCAGAGCGTGTTCAATTCTCTCTATGTTATACCATCTTACATCGGATGTCTTATGCTTATTAATCAACTTCGAAAGCTTTACCAACTCTATTTTGTCTGTTGTACTTAAGCTTTTATGCTTTGAGACTTCTTAATGAGACTCTTCATTTCCTGGGACAGCTTGCCAGTGTCCTGTCTAAGTATTAACTGTATTTTGTCTGTTGTACTTGAGGCTTTCATGCTTTGAGGCTTCTTAATGAGATTCTTCGTTTCCTGGGACAGCTTGCCAGTGTCTTGTCCAAGTAGTGTACCTCCAACTTTCACTGTACATTCCGTAATGATACTCGTCAGAGTATCATTCACTGCGTCAACACTAAGGCTGTTTTTCTCTATAAGAGCCGAGTACCTGTTCCTGGGTCCCTGAAGTGACGTGGACTACGCACGATACATAGGCCTCCTGAGGGAGGACCTCGACGCTCTTTTCTTAAAAAGCGAGGTGTGGGAAGCGCTTCTCCATTTTAACAACTGCTCGGCCCCGGGACTGGACAGTATTTTGAACAGGCTGCTCTGCAATCTAGACGAAAAGTTCGTCGCCACCTTGACAGACAAGATCAATCGCATGCGGGAAACAGATGACATCTCGGCCGACTGGAAGGTAGCATCAG